GGAAAACCTCTCTATGACCCTGGCCACTGTACTGTATCTGAGTTTCAGGGTGTTACCAATCTCCTTAGACCATTTCACAAGATGTAAACAACACTGGTCCAGAAGCACTTCCTGTTTCAGATTTTTAACACTACATAAAAGCTGAGATAAAATACAACCAACAGAACATTTAAAACTGAATCAAAAAGTTAAACAAACATCTTTAAGATGTTTTCTTTACATGTGAAATAAAGAAGACAGTTACAAACTGAAACAGGAAGTGCTTCTGGACCAGTGTTGTTTACATCTTGTGAAATGGTCTATAGTCAATGCCATCTTTGTGGAGAGCAACGATTCTAAATCTCAAATCCTTAGAGAGTGTTTTACCATGAGGTGCCATGTTGAAGATTCAGTGGCCAGTATGAGAGAATTGCACAAATTGTAACTGCTCTAATACAAGATACACAAATTTGTAGAGTTTTTCAGATTCTGAACACACCCAGGTATCAGATCAGTACTCGGTATCTAAGTCTAACTCGGTATCGGAGTCTAGGTATTGGAATCAGTATCTGGAAGGGAAGGGAAAGGGGTTTTTGAACATCTCTACAAATTTTTATGGTCCTGTCAAGCAGACAAAAACATGAACATGATGAACAGGGACATGTGGCTTTGCATGGTTAAACGACGTAAAGCTATTATCATTTAGGTGTACTATTGTCAGCTACTTTGACAATAATGGCTGTATGTTCAGTTATTTTCAAATATATACTGCTATACAAGCAGCACATTGACTTTTCTAAAATATATCCAAGTTTCATTTCTATAGTATTGTCCCTGGAGAAGATATATTAAAATGTTTGCTGAAATGTGAGGGGTCTACTCACTTTTGTGAGATACTGTATATTGTTACCATGCTAAAACCACTTACACCATGATAGATGTTGGTTATACTGCCCCTAGTGGACAAAATGGGTAAACATATCTCGATTAATTAGGAGGATGTCAGAGAGTAGTACTTGAAGATGAACTTTTTTGGGGGGATCGGTAGGCATTGGTGAGTTACGTGACACAAAATAGATGTAAGATGTTAAATATAAAATAGAAAGCACAGAAAACATGCTTGATGAGCAAGAAAATGTTCACCACAGAACTCTGTGTCACCGCTCAAAGCTCTTGACACACTTTTTTCACTCACATTTTCAGTTTATATTCCTGTTATCCAGCTTAACATGCACGCACACACACACACACAGAGACACAGAGAAATATAATCTTAGTAACCAAAGGGACTTCCAGCTGAAGCAGAGACAGACTATTGTAAATGTCTCTGGTTAACAGGACATTGTCAGAAACCAAAAAAAAACATCAGTTCAATAATTTGCACTGGCAACCTGCAGGATTTACATTTTTAAATGTCTTTTCAGTACATCTATAACAACATATCTCATAACTGTGACATGGGCATATGATTATTGCTTTGTGTGAAAAAAAATATATTAATGCGGATCAGGAGATGTACTTAAGATGTAGATCAGAAGATGTACTAAAGATGCATGCTTTTGGATCATCATGCCTGTTGCCATGGAGCAGTGTTGAGAAACTAGAATACACAATCAGAAGGGCAGCATGTCTTAGACAACAACAAAAAGAAAAAGAAAAAAATGGAAGTGAAAAGAAAAGAAAGGCACATATTTATAAATCCCTCTGAGATGGAGCAATTATGTTGATTGGGCAAAAATATGGTATTTAAAGGAGGCCTCATAGGGTTTGACACCAAGTACATTAAGAATAATTAGGGATAATTATTTTGCAGCTACAGTATATCTGAACTTCGCTTTTAGCACACAGGGATCATGGTGGTCATTTTTGTAAAACAACCGAATAACAGCCTAATTATCCTTTAACCTACCAGAAAATATGTTGTTGTGCACATTCTCAAGCTGCTGGTTTGCATACTCGCATTACACACGCACACACATATTAAAAGTCTATTTTAGGTTTGTTGTTATTTCTTGCATTGAGTCTCTGCAGGAGAGTCAGTGGCTCACGTATTGCATGGCACAGCAAATCATTTGCTCCATAAACTTCCCCCGTGCACCGGCACCATATCTATCATTCACCGCTGACGGGTGTCACAGCTGCGAGAGAATCCCTGTTCACCATAGATAAAGCACAGAGGGCACAGAACAAATATATCTTGCTTAGAGAAAGCCCAATGCACCTGACATGCAGAGGTGTAAAGTATTAAACAATACAGCCAAACCCAGGGGGATTTCAGAAGAATGGACTGTTGAAAAAAAAAAGCAACGGGATGAACCCATGCATTCAATTCTAGTATTGAAATGATACATGGTTTCAAAGGATTGTTTACCTACTCATGAAAAAAATGTAATTTTAAAATAGATATTTGGTGAAATATGCAGCTTTCGATGAGCTGAAAATTCAGTGAATACTTCAAATGCCAGTGTGTTCCTCATAAAAAGTTATTGTTTGACTGATCACTTGCAATAGAGTGAACCGATCACATAGACTATTTTATGCTGTTTTTTTTTTTTTTTTTTTTTTTTTTTTGTAGCTTGACTGTGTCCTAGTAAAACTTCTTCAAAAGTAGTCCTTCTGTTTTCCTTCTGTGTTCCGTAGAAGAAAAAAAAAATTGCATTAGGGTGAGTAAATAATGATAGATAAGTGAACTCTCCATTTAACAAATAGAGCTCTCATATATGATCTATTGTTGCAAGCTGTTTTCTTTCACAAATTAGCAGAAAAGGCCAAACGCTTACTCAACACAATGACACGAAAGAGGGGAAACATATTTCTGAAGAAACTGGATTAAGAAGTCAAAGAATGTTCAATTGTAAGTGCATTATTGGTCACACATTTGCTCTGGGATGAGTCTTTACTTTGTGGTAATCGACAGTATGCCAGGCATGCATGCTGTCAATAAAGCTTCAGTTATATTGAACCTGGGGAAATTCCTTTAAATATAAATAAAAGTGAGCAAATACAGGCTATACTGAATCTTTAGTCTATGGTAAGCCTATAACATAATAATAAAAAACCCTGACCTTGCTAGCCCTTTCATAATATACAGCATTTTAAAAAGGCTGGTATGATAACTCCTGCAGTGTTCAGTATTCAGTATGTGCAGAGTAAGTGATAAATATTAATAATCAGAAAAAGCAATAATTTAGTCCATGATCCTGTCTATATGTTTACAGTTGTTTACAGTATATAAATATATAATTTGATTTGACAGCCTTCTACAAAGGCTCTGAACTTGGCTCAACCAATAAGAATTCCGGAACTTAGTGTTTGGTAATGTGGTGTGTGTGTGTGTATATATATATATATATATATATATATATATATATATTGGTAATGTGTGTGTGAGTGTGTATATACGTATATATATATATATATATATATTATGGCTGTCAAACGATTAATCGCGATTAATCGCATCCACATAATATATGTGAGTGCACTGTTTATAATTACTGTATTTTGTATATATAAATACACAAACATGCATGTGTATTTAAGAAAAAAAATATTATTTATATATAAAATATTTATATTTTTATATAATATAAATTATATATAAATCTATATACAGTATATATATATGAAAAATTTCTTAAATATATACAAACGTGTGTGTATTTACAGTATATACTCTATATAAAATAATTATACACAGTGCACCCACGTATATTATGTGGATGCGATTAATCGTTATACACTGTATATATATATATATATATATATATATATATATATATATATATATATATATATATATATATATAAATGATGGGATAGAGTTAGTGTACAGTTGAATATTTAAGCATCTGCAAAATTAAAATATAAGTCAATTCATGTCTTACTATTAAACTGCCCTGTCTGTTTTGAATACTAAACAGCGCAATGTGAAAGTTTATGGAAATGTATCATAGATGGTATAAGCATCAAAGGACTGTAACAAATTTCTGACCCAAACCAAACAAAAAACCCACACTGAACACACTTCTAGTAAATTTCTGTTTAAAAGCAAAATACAAGGCAGCAAAAACAGGAGTGTTGGAGTTAAAGTATGTAGTGTGTTGTAAATAACACTGTGCATAGTGTTGGTAATAAAACAGACTTTACAGCACTGGTCTACATCTGTGATAAATGTTAATGCTCACTTCTTGCTCATTTCAATGAGACATATTCTGCATACTGTTTACATGAACAGTGTTTTCAAGATCGTGCAGTAGGCTAACATGACACTGACAGGCAGCTCCTATCTGCGGATGCGCTTATAAGAGTCTTAATGGATAAAGATCAATGTAATTTAAACTTTGACAATCTCAGGTTTCTCAACCACTCTTCAACTTGAGTTTACTGCAGAGTCTGGCACTCTGACACAAGTCATGATGCACTGAGGATCTGAAAAAGATCTGAAAACCTACTTGTTTTCTCTTGCAGTGGTTAAGTAAATTGGTTTCAAACACCAAGTTCAAAACAGTTGTAAATAAGGATATTTTAACTCAATTCAACAAAGATTTTAACTGGCAAGTTAACTGTTTGTTGGCCAAATTATTAGTTTGATATTTTTAATGTATGCTTTTTCGTTATTTATTTTTGTGTCACATATTGTAGCCTAATGTTTAAATTTGAACTTAAAATCAGACTCGAGAAAGACTAGCCTATTCCCATTGTGGCAACTTAGTGTGACAACATGCCCCGCTGTCAATGTCCTTTCAACGATCTCACGTTGGTCCTGTGTATGGTGAAAATGTTAAATAGCTTTTTTTTTTTTTTTTTTTTTTTTTTTTGGTATCCAAGACTCTGAGGTATGTGTAAATACATATGTTTTCCACATCAATTCAACTCTGAGGAATATTTGCTGGAGTAAAAAGTGTGACAATCTCCGTATTTCTGTATTAAGCATCACTGTGAGGATCTGCACTGAGTAGCTAAACTCTAACCGGCATCACCATCATCAATATAGGCTACTATTGTGTATCTGAGCATACCTTGAGCTAGATCCGAAATGATCTACTGGAATCCGGCAGTCCAGGTCCGTGACTGTGATCATCAGCTGGAGTTAGTGAGAGATCGCACCTGTATCCAACAAACTTCTTCTATTATCTCTCACGGTTCGGTTCTGAGTTCATGCGGAGATACAGTTTCCTCAGAACACTTTGGCGAAAATGTTGTAGAACCAATCCCGACAGTGATCTATCATAATATGTGGTCCTCGCCGTTAATAAATCGTGAGATCGTAAGTGATGGTCGGAGAACGCAGAGAGGAGCGCGTGGCGACGCCATCAAACTGCGCGTAAAGAAAGAGCGAATAGATATAAGAGCGCGGGCTCACACGTCTCTGTAATCCAGAGATACTACTTGCAGAGATATGGATTACACTGCAAACACACACTCACGCGCGCGCGAGGGTATCATTCTCACAGCTCATTTGCTATATTCTGGGCTCCCCTGTTGAGAAGAAACTGTAACTAGATACTTTTGTCGTTTCTTTGGCTTTTTAAATCTGTTGCGTAAACGGGACCATGGTACAGTGATGTTAGCAGATGCCAGACATAGGCATCTATTACAATGTTTGTTTTTGTATAAATTTGGTATAGCAGGCTAAAGAATATAATGCCATATAGGACCATGATACGTTTTGTAAATCACAATGACCATAAATTTACAGGCACATGATTCACTTTTTTTAATGAATAATTAAAAAATGATGACATGTTACACTGCTATATCTGGAAAATCTTGGGTGATGCTTATCTGGCCATTTATATTGTATCGTTTGCTGAATTTTACGTTTTGTTGTTGTTAACTAGTCATCCTTCCTTGCTACAAAAATGTGATAATTAAATACCTTGTCATAACTTGTAATATTTATGATAACCCAAAATGATCTTTGTTTGGACATGTACAGATAAATGAACATTTGCCAAATGTTGTGTGGATATATCCAAACTTATAGGGTCAATACTGGTAAAGTGGGACACTTTCTGATAATTTATATTCTGCATTCTTTTTTATTATGATCCAAATGTCTTAGCCACTCATATAATACTATTCTAAATAGCTTACACAATAGAAAAGAAAGAAACATTAAACACAGGATGGATGACTCTTCCTTAAACACACAATGACCCCAAACCACATTTTTTCAAGGCTCTACTCTCAAACTGGGACACCTTTTGTAACGGTCACCAGCTGGAGTGCCCTTAATACCCACCTGAAGGCACTCCAGATTAGTCTTGTATCACTCTCAGACTATTCATTTCCCATAACTCACTGCTCGGACTCATCTTCACTGATCACACTCACCTGTACCTCGTTCACTGATAGCATTCACCTGTGTATCATCCTGTTTGTCTGTCTATATATACCTGGTTCATTTGTTCAATCCCTGCGAAGTCTTGTTTAAGTGTTACACTGCATTTCTGAGCGGTTTCCGTGTTTGTTTTCTGGTTTTTGACTTTGGATTGTTCTTGGATTTTGATTACTGCTGCCTGCCCTGACCTCTGCCTATTTCTCGGATTCCCACTGTGTATTCTCCATTGTCCTGTCTGCTAATTCACGACCCTGCCTGTACGACTAATCTTAAATTAAAGCTGCATTTGGATCTTCATCTCTACGTCTCAGAGCAGTTCATGACACCTTTAATGGCAAACTGGGACAGTTTTCAATTGTTATTTAAGTGTAGGCCTTATAAATGAAATACTGTACACAATAACAATATAAACAACATTATCAACAACAACAATAATATACACATCACTTTTTTTCATCACTTTTTTTTTAAGAAGGGGTGCAGGTACAGCAGAATCAACCCACCCCCGCCCTCGTCTGCCCACAACATTTTATTTTGGGTTTATTTTTTTTAATTTCATTTATTTTTGTTTATTTATTTTTTTATTTTAATAAATCCTTCCTTCAGGGTCCAGTGGCCTTTCGGTGGTCAGACTTGGCTATACACCTATATTTAAGTTTATTCATGGCATACATGACACTTAGCTCTGGAATCAATTACTGTGTTTTATTTTAATACAATCATTCATTATTGAGGTTTATTTATAAGAGAAGTATTCCATTTGATTGTCTGTGTTTGCTGAGATTATTTAGATGTTGAAGCTCAACCACCACTATCTTAATCATGTCTAGGAAAAAATATTTGTATATGATTGTCTCCTGCAATTGATCATTAAACCCTTGGACCCCTAATGTCCCACTTATTGAACTCACTATGCTATTTATAGACAGGACAGCTATTATAACCTTGGAAACACACATTCACATGTACCTGTCTCTAATTCAGACTCCAAATAAGAAGTGTGACTGCTTCTAAATGAAACAGTATAAAGGCATAAAAAGGATTTCTGTCTTCACAGTTTATTAACTCCATATTGAGATGGCACTGTTTAATCACACAAAATCTGCTCGTGAAATTGTCACGTTTTTCCTGAGCACAAAAGCCTGTGCTGAATGTCCCATTATAGTGTCTCAGCAGAAATGACAGTTGCTTTTGTAGAGCATCCAAACATTTCCATCCCATCACAATGCAAGCCAACTCAACCGAGGCGCCTGGTAATCGGTGATGCCGCTGTTCATTTGTCTCAAGTGGCATGTACATATTCTGGCACTGGCAGATGCTCTTCATTGTGTTACTTTTCACGTTGAACTCTGTTCATTTGCTCTTTCAGACTCATATTTAATGTCAAACTACATAAGATTAGATGCAAAATGTGGGGGTGTTTGAAGTCTATAGGTAGGGTATAAATAGTCATCTGGTCATTTATTGCAAAATAATCCATGACAGAGTGATCAAGACCCTAAGGTGAAGTAATTGCAACACAAATATTGATTTAAATTGTAAAAAAAAAAAAAAAAAAAAAAAAAAGGCACATGAAACTAGCTGTGAAAAGAAACAAAGCAATTGCTGGGGACAACAATCAGTTATTCAGTTTAGCAGTTGTTACAGTACGTTATACGGATACATTTCACTATAGATACCTGCCGAAAAAAAAAAAGAAAAAAAAAAAAAAAAAAAAGAAACCTGCCGGTCTCCCAGACCGGTTTATTGATTTTAAAGGAATTGGACACTAGTTAAACTGGAATCAACTAGCTGACCAGTTAACAGCATTTCGTTTGGGCAGGCTTGAGACCAGCAGATGCATCTTTGAAGAAATCAACTAGTTGTTTCCCGAAACCATATTGTCGCAAAGTGGTCGTTCAACCAGGTTGGTTTATAACGTCATGCATGTGGTGGAGTAATAACTTATTTTAATGAAACTGTTTGAGATCAAATTAATGCTTGATGTTTTGATGTAGCTAAATTACAGGCATGGCATCTGAGGAATTTTTCTCATATTTCCCAGTTATTTCGCTTTATTTCCAGATTCATCGGCTCCTTCTTACATGTTTTTGCACATGTGCAGTGTTCAAAAACGGTGCTTTAAATATCTTGACAAACTCAAAGATGTAAAAATCTTTGTATGTATTCTAAATACAAGGCACAGGTTGTACTGTATGTCAGCTTGCTCATTTTGGTCAAGATACTGATTTATTAAAGGTACAATATGCAGGATTTTTGCTGTAAAATATCTAAAAACCACTAGGCCAATGTTTAGTTGATTACTTACAATATCCCAAATGTTTCCAACTATTTGTAAACCATGAGAAAATTGCAATTTTTAACCAAGGAAACGGGGCGTGTTAGCAGGGGTCAGGAGTCATCAGTCAATGACATCATATCCGCATTACCCCTGGTTTCCGCCAGGTTTGACCTCGCACTGCAATAGGAACCATGGCAACAGACGTGGACAACTGGGTCGGTTATGCCCGTTATGCGTGCTTAACAGCGTGAGCGTCCCTAGCAGGGTTTTATTCAAACATTATGGACCATGGCAAACAGACTTTGAGACAAAAAGAGGACTAAAACGAAGATCAACATCTTTCGAGATGCCGAGAGCTCCACGTCCGCGACTAACTTCGACTTGACAGAGACGCGAGTGTTGCAAGTTGCAAACAGGTGAGCAAATCAATGTACATAAAACGAATCAATGTTATATAGTTCCACATGATGAAAAGTTAGAATATGATATGTATGTTAATCTAGCTTAGTCTCATACAGCCAACAAACAACCTAATTAACAACATTCAACACACATAAATACCGTTTAGTGTGATAGTGAAACTGTTAGAGCAAGTGAAGCAGCGCTGTTACCTCAAGTTTAATTCATCTAATAAACTAACCTGTGTGAGTAATTCAGTGTGTAGTTCGGTAGAATCAAATGTCCTTATTCCTTTATATCCGCGGGACTCGCGTTGTGTGTGGCGCTGGTATACGTCTAGCAATCACGCCGTGCTTCATACTACAGTCATGTTAAAAACATCAATGCATTCACTAATCCATAAAAGATCCATCAGCTTGTCGACAAGATCCATGATTCCGCTTAATGCAGAATATACGTCATTAATATACGCCTTTGTTATTGGAAGAGGTTAGCGACCCCTGGTGGCGAAACAATCTTGCATATTGTACCTTTAAGTCCACATGTCATGCAATTTAGCTTCTAACCACAGCTTGAGAGCTGTAGTTCCAACCACACAACTTTGCGATGCTGTTTGCAATGTTAGTTGGAACGATGGTTTCGGGAAACACTGACTCATTAAATTATGCTGATAATGGGCTATATGCACGCATAAGTTCCGGATTGGAGGCAAGGATGCTCGTCCATTTCCGGTTGTAGAGATTTAAGCGGAGGAGAACCGAGGAAAACGGGATTATGGCAGAGTCTTCAAAATTTACTGTCCTCCCATCTTTGAAACGAAACGTACATACGTTAAGATGTAATTTTATGTTTATTTAAAGCCACAATATGTATTTTTTCTGCTTTAAAAATAGCAAAAATAACTGTATCTATGTTATATATTTCTGTTAGATGTGTACTTACACTATCCCGACAGTTTCCACCAAATTTCAAATACGGAGAAATTTATAGTTTAATTCGAAGACACGGGACGTTTCTTTATTTCCGTTTCATCGCCCGTCTATGGCGTCATATAACCTTTGACTCCTCTATTTGCTCTAACTTCCTTGCGGAACCCGGCGAAACCGTCAGACACAAAGGGGAACACTGGACTACCGCCAATAAAGCAAAGAAAATGACGAAGAAAAAAAAGTAAGTACGTATTTTTATGTGTGTAAATCACGTGCCCGCTGAGCGCTCACTCTTAACAGACACTCTGTCCCCGGTGCTGCTCGCGCATAAAGCGCTCCCCGTTCACAGCAACCGTGTCGTCTCATTCAAAACAGCCAACTGTTGCAGTTAGCGAGCCGCGCACATTGGCTGCGAATGTACGTGCCCGCTTCAGCGTGCTCATACTTACTAAATAAACGCCTCACCTCCGGCGCCGCGCACTCACTACATTCCCTTTAGCCTTTAGCACATAGTGGATGAATAACGCAA